GACGAAGCCCATAAATTACCTTGTTCAATTTCAGAACTTTGTTCGGATCATCAGCCGAGAAACCTGGAGGCATCCTCATATACACATCCTCCTCTAAATCACCGTAAAGGAACACGTTGTGCACGTCCATCTGGTATAACTCCCAGTCTTTGGCTGCAGCGACTTCAAGCACAATGCACATTGTAGTCATCTTGACAACTGGTTCAAACGTTTCGTTGTAATCGACACCCTCTTCTTGTCGATTACCTAACGCAACAAGACGTGCTTTGTAACGCTCTACAGTACCATCTGAGTTAAACTTGATTTTAAACACCCACTTACACCCTATGACTTCCTTATTTGGAGGTAGTGTAGTTACCGTCCAAGTATTTAGGTGTTCGAGAGCACCCTTCTCTGTTTTCATCGTGCCTCTCCATACTTCATGCATGACCGCCTCCTTGAAAGAAGTACGTTCAGACTGAGTCGTGACTGCTGCTGTGAACATCTGTATCATTGAAGATAAACGATGACAAGATATATAGTAAGTTAAGGGATACAAGGACGTACCAGAAGACTTTGAAGATGGAGCGGCAGAGACGTGAGGGGATTTTTCTAAAGTCTCAGCTGAGTAAACATGATATGGTCCAAGAAGAACAGATTGTCTTTTGATTCTCATGCCACGGCCCAGTTCCTCAACTTGAGAATCAGTTGTTTCAGACGAATCAATCTCAGCTGGAGGAGTCGAATTATCTCCTCCTTGCTCAGAGCTATCTCCCCCTTGCTCATTGATATCTCCCTCTTGCTCTTCTTGCGAAGGAACTACCACTGGAACTGTCTCATCAAACATTGCTGGATGTCGTAAAGGAGAGAGCAAAGGGGAAGGATGTGAATCCGAATTCTACACCGAATTAAAAAATGGATATATATGTCTTCATGAAAGACAACATCACGGGACACAAACAGTTTTTCTGTTTCCAAATCATATACAATCCAACCTTCTTTCCCCATTGGGTATCCAAGAAAAACACAGCGAGTACTGCGTTCTGCAAACTTGTCTTTTGCCCGATTCAGATTCCTAGCATAACATAGTGTGCCAAACACGCGCAAGTTATCATATGTAGGAGGCGCACCATAAAGAAGCTCATACGGAGTTTTGTTTTTAAGCAGCACCGATGGAGTTCGATTATCAAATACGTAGCGGCAAGCACGCTTTCTCCCCAAAATTTCTTTGGTAAATTTCCTTGAAATAACAGAGCCCTTGCCACATTTAATATATGACGATGCTTTCTCTCCACACGTCCATTCTGTTGAGGAGTGTCTACACAAGATGTCTGATGTATGATACCCTTCTCTGCAAAAAATCTTCGAAGGCAAATGAACTCCGAACCGTTATCGCTCCGTATAGTTTTGATCTGCTTTTGAAATTGTCGTTCAACAAAAAAGCAGAAAGTTTTTAACGCATCAGACACTTCTTTCTTTTCTAAAACCGCTCTAGAAAAATCGTCGACAATGGTGAGAAAGTATCTTGCACCAGAAGTAGATGGTTCCCTATAGGGATCCCATAAGTCACAATGTATTAAAGAGAAAGATTCAACTGCTTTATTAATGCTGACCAAAAAACTGTCTCGAGTTTGTTTAGCTCTAAGACAAACACCATAAGATCGTTCAAAATCACCTAAGCTACTAGAAAAATCACCAACAGAAGCTAAAACAGAAAGCACTTTCGATGAGGGGTGTCCCATACGATGATGCCACAGATCTCGACTCTTGAATCTGCTCATGTGTCCAGCTTGAACTGCAACCGCACCGTCGTAGTGATAAACCCCATCACGCTCTTTACCCGCTCCAATCAAAGTCTTCGAAACGAGGTCATGTATCACACAAAACTTTTTAGTAAATAGCACAAAGCTCGCAACATCTCGTAATAACTGAGCAACCGAGATCAACGTAATAAACATGTGTTAAAGTCAGCTTTCCACCGAGATTTAAACTCCCATGACTTGTTGCCCATGCAACTTGGCCATTAGGTAAAGAGATCGGAATTGGTGAAATCGACTCCACATCTGTAAGTAAATGCAAATCTCCAGTCATATGGTGCGAAGCACCAGAGTCTATGATAATGTCATGTCGACGATCTCTGCCAAAAAGAAGTAGTTTGTCTGTCTTACCCGAGAGATTTTCAGAAGGAGTGGAATTAGGAGTGTTCATAAACTGAGCTAAGGTAGCCCACTGTTCAGGTGTGAAGTTTGGTATTCCTGCACCAGATGAAGAGTTTGCTTCAGAAGTGGAAGCAGAATCTCCAAGTTGGGTGTTGTATGCGCGAAAACCAGATCCTCGACCTCCACGACCACGTCCTTGATTCTCAAGACCTCTGCCTCGGCCTCCTCTGTCAGCTCCACCACGTCCACCTGAAGCTTTGTTCTTGTCATACCAATCTGGAAATTCAACCAGTTGAAAACAATTGGTTGATTCATGACCTTGTTTTCCACAATGAGAGCAAACTGTCATCGACTTGACGAAACGAGCACCAGTCGCCTGTCCTGTTGATTGAGTCGACTGTTGTGAGGATCCCGATGAAGCTGATGTCAAAAAACCCACGATTGGAGTTCGATCCTCTGAAATCTTCATCACCTGAAGATGTCTTTCTTCTTGAATAATCTGTGAATACACAGAGTCGAGATTCAAATCGGTTTGCCTGCTTGACAAGTTGGATCTCGTAGTTCCAAAACGAGAATTGTCAAGACCCATCAGAAATTGATGAACCCGGAGCTTTTCACGCATCTTCTCATACTTCACCATTGAAGTACAATCTCCGCTTCCATAACAACAGGTAAACCCTTTTTCAAAATCAGCAAGGTCATCCCACATGACCTTAAGTTTGCTGAAGTAAACTTCCACTGATTCTCCATTCTGCTTGCACGCTGAAATATCGGCATGAAGCTGATGGATTCTCGTTTCATCACTTACAGAGAACCGTCGCTGAAGACTAGCCCACATCGCCTTCGCACTGTCGACCAAAGATATCGATGGTCGAAGTTTTGGTTCAAAGCTGCGATAGATCCAACCAATGATCATAGCATTCACTATATCCCACTTTTCTTCTTCATCCGGCTTGTTTACTGGCCGTTTAAGAGTTCCATCGATGAACCCCAGTTTCCGTTTGGTACGAAGTGAATTCAACATCAGCTTCGACTACCTCTCATAATTTGCTCCGTTCAACAAGATCGGAGTCTGGACCTGTCCCGTGTTTTCAGAAGCATGAAGATAGTACGGAGACATCAAAGCATCGGATGAAGCTGATGCAGCTCCCAAAGGAATTGATGATATGCTGGATTCAGTGCTCATCGTAAAAAAACAGAGAAAAAGAAGAACAAAAGATCGAAAAAAATTAGTGTTTAGGATATTTGCTTTGATACCATGCCAAAATAGCTAAATGTTCTCGCGTCTTTCATCATCAAATCATACAACTATTTATACAAGCCAATGTCGGCCAAAGCTCCTATAATATAGGAAATATATACGAATCATAGAAAATCTATATTACCCAAATCGTATGAGAATCATAACGATACAATCATATCCGAATATTAATCACATTTGATTCGAGTTAATTTATCTTTGGTCCGACTAGATTCTTCCGCGGTCCGATTGAGTCTTCCTTGGCATGATGAGTCAATCCATTTGCTCGGTGATGTCTTCAAAACTTTTTTGGCTGATCAAATTTTCCACATTATGGTTGAATTATTCTTTGAGTTTTCTTGTGCCTGATCTGATTGTTCATAGTTGGGATCTGATTGATGCTCGGACTGATACAACACTGGTAGATCTCGTCTTGTCATGTCTATGTCCTCATCAATAACATATTACTTTTTCAGCCTTTCAAATTGTTTGTAACTTCTAAGAGAAAAAAGTCAAAAATAGTCCGAACTAAATCTCATGTGCCCAAAAAAATTCAAACTAAAATACAGTACTAAATCTTATCTGTACCACGTAAAAATTCAAATTTCATACTCACTATTAAATTGGAGCCAAAAAAGAAATCTCTTAAAACAATATATAAGAATCTAAATTTATGATTGAGGGATGATGCAATCAATGATCAAATAAAATATAAAAATAAAATGAAAAATTTTTAACACAAGTTTGATTTTGGTTTAGATAATTTGGTGTTTCAGAGTTTTTTTTTTATTTTTTGAAAATTAATCCACATACTTAAAATTAATGAAATATTACAAGTTTAGACAAAAAATAGAGGAAAAAAATTTGAACAAAAAATTAATTTTTTAAAAAACAATGAAGGATGACGTGGCAGTTGACTTAGCAACTGTGAATGTTTTAGCTGACGTGGCAGCTGACTCAGACTGTTAAGTTAGTCTTGTTAACGTTTTGACTAACGGATTTGCGGTCCTGGATTTGGCTCCAATTCAATAGTTTGGGTAAAAAATTTTAAATTTATGTGGTTTAAGTAGGATTTAATACCGTATTTTAGTTTGAGTCTTTTTTGCACACAAAATTTAGATTGTGTTGTTTTTACCCTTTTTCATAACTTCTAAATTATTAAATAATATGGATAAGTAAACACATTTATGATATACAAGAATGTCGTCAAAAGTTTTTTAACACTACACACGGAATTGGACAGGCTCATTTGCGTAATGTAGTCTTGCGGTCTTGCCTAACAGATAAACATATCAGCTAGGTTCGAGATAAATTGTTTAGATTTGCCCTAGATGATTAGAATTTGGTGGATTGGCTTTTCTTAAGTCAGAATTGGATTATCTTTGTAATTATCCTACTTTAAATGTCTGTGCTAATTTTTTTGCAAAAAAGGCTTGAACACAAGACTACATATTTTTCTATGTACATTACAATGAACGGGTATGGTTTGCTTCTCAGGTAATCATCCTAACGACCAAATTTGATTTAATATGTGGAATTTGTTGAAAATGAAAAGAAATTTATCAAAGAAACTTCAACTGCATTCATAAATCAAATTTTGTATTCATAAACACAAATTTCAACCGCATTCATAAATCGATTAACGAGAAGCCCAAAAGGCCGACCCAGAAATCATTTTGATATAATATTCAATTATATAAATTAAATAATAAAGACTTTAATCGAACACTTTTGTAAGTGCCAACCTCTCTCTCTCTGTCTGATTTCCTTATCGCTTTCTAAAAACCCTCTCTTGTTCCTCTGTAATCTCTGTGAAATCATAAATGACTTCTTCAATAATAACCTCAAGCTTAAAGCTTTCAGCTATGTCTAGCGAGAAAGAAGTAAATGACGCCATTGCCGCTCTTGATGGACAGGTAAAGAAAAACCTTCGTCTATGAGTTTTCTGCTTCTCTTCTTTTGTGAAAAAACTACAGAGTTTGTGAACTTTCTCTTTGTGTTTTTGCAGAATCTGGAAGGCAAAGCAATTAGAGTGAACGTAGTTGAGCAACGACCAAGACGTGGTTTTTGAAACTTTAATGCTTCTCTCTCTATCATTTTCCTTAGATAAGATTTATCATTCTAAATGTTCTCACTTGCAATTCCAATGTGGTGATTATGTGAAACCAAAGCTTTCTTTATTACCCATCAAAAACATACTACAAAGCATTGTCTACACAAACTTTATATGTACACTAAGACGTGGGAAGTAGCGTTTTTGTTTGTTTTTTCTTCAAAACCCTCCTGTCTGTTCGTCGCGACTAGTGAGAGGCACATACCTTACTGAAGTTTCGGTATGTACCTTGATGGAACCATCCTCGTTTTTATCAATCACTTTCAGCTCTTGAAAATAGGTTCCCACCGGAATCACCATTCTCCCACCAGGTTTTAGCTGGTCCAAAAGCGCTTGAGGAACCTCTGAAGCCGCTGCTCCTACGTGTATCGCATCATACGGTGCAAACTCATTCCAACCTTTTCTTCCATCTGTGTCAATAAGAGAAATTTCAGTGTCTTTAGTGAGAAACATACAATGTTTTGAAACCGAGTGTACCTACCACCAACATGTAAAGAAAGAGCTCCTTTCTTAAGCAAAGAACCAGCAACACTCTTTTCGATATTCTTGATCGACATATCAACCAGTCCAGGGATATGCTCCACGCCAACAACACTGCCTTCAGCTCCAACCATGAGAGCAAAGCAGCCAGTCAAGTACCCGGTTCCTACACTCAAAAACCACGAAGCTTGATTGATACATATCCCAAGTTCACAAGCTCGAAAAACCATTAAAGAAACTGCTGCAAGAAAACCTGAGCCAACATCTAAAGCGCGCATCCCGGGCTGGAGCTTATCTTCCAAGAGCTGCAAACACGTCGCGTGCATATGCGGAGCTGAGATGGTGGCGTTGTAACCTATAGGCAAAGGAGTATCAGCATAAGCTGAAGATCCAGCTGGTACAAAGAGACCTCTATCTAAAGCCTCCATAACTTCAGCTACTCTTTTCGATGATATCACTCCGAAACGTTTCAAACTTTCCACCATTGATTTCTTCCCAGTCGATCCAGTTCTACTATGGAATTGCTACACATAAAGGAAAGTTCTTAGATTATACAATAAGCAATAATGAAGCAATACAATCAATACATCACCATGCCTAAAAATTTAATACCTCTAGACAAACTGAATCAAATTTCAGAGTCTCCAGAGGACTCGAATCAGTGGAATCATCAGAAAAATCAGAGGAATATAATATCTCAGCAGATACAAGCAAACATAAAATTACTGCGAGAATACTGAAGCGAACCTCCATGCTGGAGAAGGGAGAGCGAAAGGCGGTGAAGAGACTGAGATTGAGAAACGGAGCAGCACCGTGGCGTTGAAGAGAGGCGTAGGTTAAGGAGACGAGTCTGCGTGGCGCACAATAGTGGTGACCGTATGCTGTTAATGTTGGGTATAAAACCTGAGCTCGCATTTTTATTTTGTTTTTTTTTTTTTAAATGGTTTCAGATTCTAGTTTCTTCTTTCGTGATTTTGTTTGTTGTGTGTTCATTCTCTAGAATTGGCTTTGTTGGTTGCCACTTGTGTCATGACGAGATCAGTCTTTTCAGGAGGGCAAGGTAAATGGGCTTTTATGGGCCTAATTTATTGACATTGGATTTGCATTCCGGTTACTTCCAACAATGGTGTCACCTAACAGTCACACAGGTCATGCTTATCATTCTCAGTGGTTGTAGCCTGTATGTAGGGCTGCGACTTCGGTTTATTCTGATAATTTGGTTTGGGTTAGTTTGGTTCGAGAATATTTTAACAAAATAAATCGAACTAATAAGAGGTTGTTCTGCAGTGGCAGAGGTCAATTGACTCAGATTAAATTACAAAAATTAGAACTTGAACTTGCTAAATGCATGTTATCACTGGAAAAATTGGTTGAAAATTCTTTGATTGACTCCCCTAATTTTATGTTCGATGCCTTCATTGATCCGGGTTAATTTTTTTTTAGCTCTACCACTGTCTGGTTGTCATCAGTGGCGGAGTCACATTGTCCAAAATTTCGTCCCCAATAATTTTTAAAAATTAGTGTAATTTTTAAAAATTAGTGTAATTTATTAAAGCCTAATATCAATGTCTCCACTCCTAACATCATATATATACACATATTTGCCTCTAATAAAAAAAAAATTCTGACTCCACCACTCTTGTCATCAACAAAAACAGAGGCGAGGATCTTTGCAAAATTTTATTGGTTTGAATATTCAAAGATATTTTAAAAAATTTAAGTTGATATTCTGATAGATCCCATATATAGGATTATCAAATGATAATCAGAAAATAAGAACACAACACTTTTCTCTTCATATTTGATCTCATTAACAATGCTTAAATACATGAAGGAAGAAACTAACTACTATAGAACGTGAAAAAGTAGAATACAATCCCATTAACCTAGGAGAAACGAAAGCAACCACTACAAAAAAAAAGAGTTTTACATCACTTAATTTGTGTCAATGATTTTGTTTTAAATTACTTATAACAAATGATTTAATAATATATCAGTTATTTTATTTGATTTAATTTTACATCATATAATCACAATTGATACAAAACTCTTTCATTTCACATCACTTGAATAAAAGTGATTCAAAAAAATATATTCACATCAGTTAATATAATCGATGTGTTTATTATTTTTTCTAGCATCACTTTAGAAAATGATTCACTTTTACATCACTTAAAAGGTATATTTTACATCACTTAAATTGCATCGAAAAATTAAATGATTCTATTTTGAATTACTTATTAACAAATAATTGAAAATATGTTAATTAACATCAGTTATGATAATTGATTTTATTTAGAATTATTTTTTTTAAATAAAACTGATACAAATCTCTAATAATTTGCATCACTTTCATAAAAATGATATAAAATATATGTTTACATCAATTAAAATAATTGATGTAATTATTGTTTTTGTTGACATCACTTAAAAAAATGATCCAAAGCCCAAGATTAAAAAAAAAGCCTTAAAATAAGAATAAAGGTATTTTTGTCAATTCTTCTATTCTTTATACCTAGGGAGCTCGTCTCCCTCTCTATATAAAGGGCAGAATCATTCTTCTAAGAGAAACAAAGAGTTAACGCAATGAAACTCTATAAAAACCTCTGCAACATCAGTTTAACATTTGTCTGAGTGAGGGTTTTGCTGTAGCGTTTGCCAGCAACTCAGATCAAGTTAAGTGTCGATCTTCATACCTATGGAAAGATCTCGCTGCAAAGAATCCATAGAAGTTTACAGATCATAATTCCGAGGTACGCTCCGTTTTTTACGTGAGCTGGAAGTTGGCGAAAAATCATTTTTTCTGCAAAATCTGATTTTTCCAGTTTCGCAGAGCCAAATTGTGAGAGGCTTTGCCATCGATCCAGAAGGATTCAGATAGCAATCCACATACCGATCTGTACATCTCAGATCCCTCTCTCCAGATCAACTTTCAGATTCAGTTTTAGAGGTAAATCGTGAAAGTTATCACTGTATCTTCTCGGCCAAGAAACAATCTGGATTTGCAAATCTAAAACCCTAGTTTTTGTGTTATGTCTATTGCAGGGCCTGGATACCAACTCTTATTCTTCAGACTTGTCTTTGTGAGGTTTTTAAGGTGAGGACTGTTAAATTGAGTTAGTAAAAAGCCTTGGATTATAGATAATAAACCAAATTTACCAATCGCTACCAGCTTGTTTACTCTGAAGAATTGTTCATTGTATTATGTTAAAAATGTTGAATCCATATACGGTTACATAAACATATTTGCTTTTTGACTTAATATTACTGTATAATTATGTTTATTTTTTGTTTAGGTTATAATGGATAAGTCATGGATAAACAAACCACGTTTATCTCAAGACTATATAACCGGGGTGAAAAAATTCTTGGATTTTTCTTTTTCCAAAAAAGATGCAAACATGATAAAATGTCCGTGTAACCGCTGTTCTCTAGCTAAATCTAGATCTAGAGAAGATGTCGAAGGTGATTTAATGTGTTTTGGCTTTTTAAATTCCTACACAAGTTGGATACTTCATGGAGAGGATGTTGGTGTTGTAGGAAATACAATAGAAATATCTCCTGGTATTAATATTGCTCCGGGTGAATTAGAATCAACTATGAATCTTTTGGATGATCTTTTTCCTGATATTAATACATCTGATGGAAATGGATCGGAGCAACCTATGGACGCAGATGGACCATCAACTTCGAATGGAAATTATGGAAAAGGAGAAGGTTTTGATGAGTTGCTTGCTGACTTTAATCAGGAATTATATACAGGATGCACTAAGTTTACAAAACTGTCATTTCTGTTGAAGTTATATCATATCAAATGCATGTGTGGGATTAGTGACAAAGGAATATCCATGGTGCTCAGTTTGCTAAAAGAAGCATTTACTCAAGCTAAATTGCCGGATTCATTCAATGAAATGAAAAAAGTTATCCGTAAGCTGGGTTTAGCATATGAGTCAATTCATGCATGTCCTAATGATTGCATGTTATATTCGGAAGATGATGCAGAAAGACAAACTTGCAAAGTTTGTGAAGCTTCTCGATGGAAAATAAATACAGCAAAGAATTTGATGGCTGGATCAGAGACTAGGAAAAAAAAGCTCCTGCGAAAGTTTTACGTTATTTTTTTTTTGAAAACACGGTTGCAACGTCTATTTATGTCATTAAAAACTGCTAGCCACATGAGATGGCATGCAACTGCTAGTAGTAATGATGGTAAACTTCGACATCCAAGAGACGGAGGTGCTTGGAAGGTATTTGATCAAAAATATCCTGAGTTTGCATCTGATCCAAGAAATGTTAGACTCGGTTTGGCTACTGATGGTTTTAATCCATTCGGTACGATGAGTTCTAGTTACAGCATTTGACCAGTGGTTTTATTTCCTTATAATTTTCCACCGTGGATGTCAATGAATCAGACATCGATGATTCTCTCTATGGTTATCCCTGGAAAGCACATGCCTGGTAATGATATTGATGTCTATTTGCAGCCACTTATCAAAGAATTAAAGGAATTATGGTCTGAAGGGGTCAAAACGCTAGATGTTTCTACAAAACAAACGTTTGACATGCGAGCAGCCATCATGTGGACAATTAGTGATTTTCCTGGTATTGGAAATTTATCTGGTTGGAATACGTATACAGCATTAGCTTGTCCAAACTGCAATTTTGATTCATGTGGACAACGTTTACGCCATGGAAAGAAAAATTGTTTTATGGGTCATCGTCGTTTTCTTCCTCGAGATCATGATTTTCGTCAAAATAAAACTAGTTTTGATGGAAAAATAGAAACCCGATCTCCACCATTGAAGTTGACAGGTGCTACAATTGTTCATCAACTTGAGCAAGTTAACATTATTCTTGGTAAGAAACATGGTTCAGTTGGGAAAAAGAGAGGTCGAGGCGAGGCAGAAATATACAATTCTCAACAATGGAGGAAAAAGAGTATATTTTTTGAATTGCCTTATTGGGAGTTTACTGTGGTACGACATAACTTGGATGTGATGCACATAGAAAAAAATGTGTTCGACAACATAATCTACACATTATTGGATGACCAAAAAAATCAAAAGACAATTTACAAGCTAGAAAAGATCTTCGTGAGCTTGGGATACGTCCTGATTTGTGGCCCGATGATACCGGAAAGTACCAGACAGTATGTTTTACTTTGAATAATGCTGGGAAAGACATTATTCTAAATGTCTTAAAGGATGTAAAATTCCCTGATGGTTATGCTTCTAACATATCTAATTGTGTTGATGTTAACAATAGGAAGCTATCAGGTTTAAAAAGCCATGATTGTCACATAATAATGCGAGATTTGTTGTCAATCACAGTTCGAAAATTGCTGCCACCAGAGGTGACTTCAGTCATTGTTGAGCTTTGTCGATTTTTCAGAGATATCTCTGCTAAGGTCATTGATATCAATGAACTTGATAAATTACAAGACCGTATTGTAGTGACTTTATGTCGTATGGAGATGTTATTTCCTCCCTCGTTTTTTACAGTGATGATACATTTAATTGTACATCTCACCGACGAAGCAAAAGATGGTGGACCAGTTCAATTTCGTTGGATGTATCCAATTGAGAGGTGAATTTTTCTCATTAATATACATCTATATTTATATATAAGTTGAAACTTACTTGATTTACTCATTTACAGGACTCTTGGATATTTTAAATCATATGTTCGCAATCGTGCTAAACCTGAGAGTTCAATTTGTGAGCAGTATTTAGCTGATGAATGTGTAACGTTTTGCTCAATGTATCTTGATGATATAGAGACACGATTTAATCGTGTTAGCCGTGCTGACGATCGACCTCTGGCTGACACAAGTGTAAGACCAAACTCAGAATTACATCTTCTTTTTCCAAATCTTGGGAAACCTGTTGGTGCAGGTCACGTTCATACACTTAGTTACGTAGAGAGGTTTACATATAAAAAAAGAGTGTTTTACATCACTTATTTTTTATGTTTACATCAGATTTAAGTGATGTAAAAGAATTTTGCATCATTTAAATAAGTGATTCTGAAAGTGGTGATGCAAATAGTTTGCATCAGTTATAGAAAGTTTTAGATCGAGTTTTAGAATCGATGTTACTATGTATCATTTGCAAGAAAATGATGTTAATACTTACATCAGTTAATTTAATCGATGCTAATATTTGTTACGGTTATCATAACTGATGTCAAATGATACATCATTTGATAATAAATGATGCTAACAACTGTATCACTTATAACAAATGATGTCAATATTTATATCATTTGTGTGTAATTGATGTTAATATTTGCTACGGTTAACATAAATGATGTCAAATGATATATCATTTGTTAATAAATAATACTAATAATTGTATCACTTATAACAAATGATGTCACTATTTATATCATTTGTGTATAATTGATGTGAAAATTAGCATCAGTTACCAGAAATGATCGTAATAGTTATATCACATATAACAATCGATGCATAAGCATCTTGTGGTTTGCATCATTTTATAGAAAAATGATGATAATCTAATATATTGATAAACGTCATTTTAGCATATTAAAAAATAAATTTAATAAATTTAAAAAATATTTACAAATTAATATTAAATTTTTTAATCAATTAATTAAAAATTTGAATCTAAATTGCATATTAATATATTAATAACTGAATCACAATGAAAATCTAAATTGCTTATAAATTGCATCATCCAAATGAAAAAACTGTTTAAAACATAATTAAACTAATTAAATAAAAAGTTCTTAATCTAATGTTGAACATGCCCACCATAATCTTCAATCACCACATTTCTAATTTCTGTTGGTATCATCTCCCGTTTCCTAATAAAAAAGCAGACAACAAAATAAAACTAAATTAGAATATCATCTGAAATTTAAAACCTATAAAATTAATAAATAAAATTACATTCACCTGAGAGTTAGTAGGATTTGCTAAATTCTTGAAAGCAGCCATAAAAGTTTTAGTCCATGCAATTGATGCTTAAATAAACACTTTAAAATATTAGTTTTTTTTAATTATAGATTATATGAATACAATATAAATTACAAATGATCGACATACCTGTTCACTAGATTGAGCAGCAAGTATCTGTTGAATGAACATACTCATATACTTATTTGTTTCTTCTAGTCCTTTCATATTTGTCTTCATTCGAATATAGGCTTCAGAATTTTCTATCTCTGGTGTTATTTGAGTAGTTTTACCAAATAACTTTGAAGGTGTGGGTCCACGTCCGACACAACGTATTCGTCCTGGCCGTTCTGGACCAAACACTTGGGCATATTCATCATCCAAACTAGCTATAACATTGGCTGTGACTTGTCTTGATGGATTTTGGGTTAACAATGTTGTAAGTGCTTCCTGAAAGTGAATTAAAGTATAATATTCGGCATAATCAAAAGAAATTTTATCAAAGTAGAAATGAATCAATTAAGAATTGAACTAACCCCACGTGTTTTAGCTTCCTCTGATACAAAACTTCCATCAGATTTCGTACGAGTTGCAACGAAGAATTCAGCTCGACTTGGTGTTTTTCCCGTCTTGATTGTCTGGTACATGCAAAAATCATATACATAATTAGATTTAATTCTCATGTATGAGACATACAATATAGTTTGTTTACTTACAATCTCACGTCTTTTCCTTCCAAAACTCTTTCTTCCACACAAATGAGGCATAATGTTCTTCTTTTGATTCTTTGTATTCCGTTCTTGCATTTTCTGAAAGCTCAAGAATAAAAATTCACATATATTTGATATATTATATAATAGTCTATCTAGTAAATAACTTATACCTTCCAGTTTTCAGTGAATCGTAAGCATACAAAATTATGCCACTGACTTTCAGGAACATTATTGGGTCGATTTTGCATCGTTTCAGTCCGATCATCCCGTTTGTAATTTTTCCAAAGACGCCCTTTGAAACTGTTGCATCTGCTCCCTAGAACACTCATCACATACTTCCTTCTTGTCGTTGGGTTATCAAACCAAAATTTTGCCTACAAATTTACGACATCACTAATGTATCTTTTGAGCCAATATCTCCATGTGGCGAGAATAATGTGCTGTCATAATAAATTATTAATAAAGAAATTATTATTTCTCATAACTCAAATAAAACTACACAAATATTTGAGTTATTTTACAAATGTACAAGCAAAACCACATAAAATAGTTTAAAAGAAGCAATTTAACAATTATTAATGTAGTTTTTATGATGTATATAGTTGATAATAATATATTCAGGAATCATCTATTATTTTAATTTTTACAAAGCATATGTATAATATTTTTATTTTTTAACAATAATCCATAAGTACTAAAAACATCCAAAATAATTCTATGAGTAAAAATAAAAAATCTAAATTAATAATACTTTTAATATCAAAAAATATTAGTTTATATATATATATATATACAAATATTTATTGTGTTTTTGTTAAATATTTAAGTGCATCATTTTGTATCATGGAATGTCAATTAATTTAGTACACTTATCGATTGTATTTATTTGAGATAAAACTGTATTCTTGGGTATAGTTTATATATCGATTATCTGCCTTATTCAGATTAATAATTAAAGTGTTAAAAAATAAATTTATTCTTTTAAAATTAAAAATATTTATATCTTGTGAGTTAATATATCTAAGTATCCAAAACGTTTTAACACTATTTGTAAAAATACATGGATATTACCTGAATTACATCCCACACCTTATTTTTTGTGTTGTCACCAACCAATCTCCATTCAGTGTAGTCAATAGGTAACAAATTCACATCAGTACTTAATTGACCCAGCCATGATCCAAGTAAACCTCCAGAATCTTCAACTGGTTGACCGCTATCTCCATCAAACTGTACTATCACTTTGCAATTTTGCAATTTCCAAACATCTCTAGCTGACACCATTTTTCCTTTTATGTTCACAGCCGTATCTTGTTAACAATTATATACATTATGAAAAAATTATTAGTTTAAGATAACTCAAATCAGCATAATATATTTATAGAATCTATTTACATTACCTATGACTTGTACATTCCATTTGAAGCTTTTGCAGTCTTGAGCAAGTGTAGGAGGAGAATCATAAGTTATATCATCTGGTGTTTGTGTCTCTGAATCCTGAATATCACTAAAAGACTGGAAATACTCCATAACCTAAATTAAAAAGTCATATTTAGTTAACAATAACATCTGTAGCAACGAAAAAACAAAGTGAAGGCAAAATATATGTACGTAACAAAATTTCAACTACTCTATAAAATTGCAAATACAAATCATTCATCAAAGTCATCCTTATTAGAAACGAGACTAAAATATACTATAATTTTTAGGATTATAAAAAGGAAGATAGTAAAAAAACTAATAAAAATATGTTGCTTGGATCCAACTGCGTATAGATGAGATCTAAATATAGTGGTTTAATCATACAAACTCCATTCTGAAATGAAAGAGGTGACGTCACCTAGACTTAATCGGCCAGAAAAATTTGTGACAAAAATCTGCTAGATTTAATCACCTAAATTTGTTCATCGATAATTCTGATGCTTAATTCATATCAAAAGCCCACCGTTAGATGTTCAGATGTTAATCGAGCTTAGTACTTTTAGGCGAGTTCGGCCAGAAAAACGACAAAGACAAAAAAGCAATCGGCCAGAGAACGACAAACTTTTAAAACCTAGATTTAGAAGTTGATTTCGATTCTGTCAAACCCAGAACAAAAGCATATAACAGATATGATTAAACACACAAATATCAAACAATATTACCTTGATTTTAAGCAACTTCTGGTTTTGATATGATCAGCGCCGTTTTCCAAAGAGAGTAAAGAAGCTCTAAATATTATTAACTTAGTGGTAATCAATTTATAGATAATTACTTATTAAGACTTAATATGTACATAATTCATTTCCCGCTTGTAATCAATTAAATAGCGGGAATTGTATTAAAAAAATTCAATTATTTTGGACGACTAATAAATTCTCACTTAAATAATTGAACTTGTGACAACGGTGGGCAGTGCCATGGGTGTGGTGGCAGTTGAGAGAAGGAGAGATTATCAAAATCGTTTGTTCTCTCCGGTTCTTGGCCTTCGCTCTTGATCATGTTCTTGATGGTCTCTGGCTTAACATCTTCTTGGTCGAAGAACGATTTGGTTTTATTCATGACATGTCCATCACGATCACGATTTGGTACCTGATCATCATGATCACGAGGAAGCTCTTGTTGTGGCCATGTGAAGATTGTTTGGTCTTGTCTCATCATGAAAGTAGTCTGGATTTGTTGTTGTTGTTGTCCCTTCATTATCACCATCATCACCAATCATATACTCTTCCCTGCAAACTTTTAGCTTTAGCAGTTTCTTTAAATTTATCCACTACGTTCTCTTGTACTTTGATTAGGGATATCTTCGTAATAAATCTCAGAGACAGTAAGCAAAGGGGAAAAACGAAAAAATTCAATCCTCGGATAGTCCTTTTTAAAACAGAGCTTAATGTGATGGTCACTGGCCACATATTTTGCTTTCCATCGTTGTTCTTCTATGTAAACATCTGTCTGAGCTTAATGTGATGGTCACTGGCCAAAGGATTGCCGTGTATCAGGATGGCTAGAAGACAAAGATATGGAGAGTGAGACAATGCTCCTTACAGAGTTCAGTTACGACTTAGACAGGTCCAACGCACAGACATTTGACATTGCAGATTCAGCTCACTCGGGACTTGTCAATAATGTAAGGCTGACTTCACATCCAACCATGGAAGCTCATCACACACTTGCATCTACCGCTTCAGGGTTCACGGCCGTGAACTAGACTCAGTCTCTGTTGTTCATGCTTGATCTGAAATCCACGTGAAACTCCTCTTCTCTGTAACATTCCCTCTTAGATATCTCTCTCTCTCTCCTTTTCCTGGTTTATGGGGTGGAAAAGCTTCGAGTCTGTATTACTCTTCTTAAATCTTCTATAACAAAAAACGAAAACAAAGAGGAAAGAAAATAAAACTAGGTAACATTTCGATTTGTTTTGAATCCATACCAAATTCTAGTTATCTTAAATCTTTGTTAGTAAACAAAAAAGTTTGTTGGTAATTTGGTATGTCTTTTAATAATATGGTTCATATGGTGTGAGGTTTAGTTGATAATATTAAAACGATGTTCGTGGTGCGTTTACTTCAACTTCCACTAGCTTTTTAAAAATACAAAAAGTAATAGAAAAGCATCTCCTAAAACAAAATAATAAACTCAGATTTATAAAGCATCGACAAACACAGATTAATAAACTCAGATTTAGAAAACTATCAGATTCCTTGCTTCCTCTGTCCTCGGAGTTGCACATCTCTGCAATGTCACTTTTTGTGAAATCTGTGTTTACAGAATTAGTTGACCAACTTGTTCTATCTTTTGCATTGGATCACCAGCAAGCAAGATAAGCAGCAGAGAAAACACATCAAGTTGTGAAAGTGGAAGAGAGAATCAACAGAGTGGTGATGGCTGCAAACAAAGCAGTGAAGATATTAAGAACATTTAGAGAATACAAACGAATAAGAGGAAGGATCTACGTAAGCCAGTTTGAAAAATCTGCATAACATATAATTTCATAAGATTGAAAAATATAAATCAGCCGGCGAAGCAGCCTAGCATCGTTGTGGTTTCATTGGCAAATACTATATCTGGTAATGCTGGGGCACGCCTAAAAGTCAAGGCAACAACACTCACCATCAAACTATTATGAAGGATCTAGATCACCCATATCATATATGTCTCTAGGCTGAAAATGTACTGCAATATCCCACTCCGGCTCAAAAGGATCTTTTACATAATACACCATTTTAGCCTGAGAAGCCAATATATAAGGCTCATTCTCCTCATCATTTCCAATATGTAACAAGCGTGAAAAATTAAGCAACCTATGACCATATGTGTCAGTTTTATATCCTCGTTCAGATCGAGTATCAGCCCACTTGCATTTGAATAATATAACTTTGAAAACCTCATAATAGTTTAACTCCATAACCTCAACCAATTTTCCATAGTAAGCTACATCTCCAGCTATTGGGTTAAGATCACGAGAACTCGCGTAACTCATAGTCTCAGCAGCCACATAAACACCGCTATTTTGTGTTTTCAGGTCAGCCTCTCTTTCGGTTGTCCGGAACTTAAATCCATTGACATTGTAAGCTGTATACTTCACAACTTTCTCAGACGGACCTAGAGCTAAGCATCGTAAATCATCATTTATACCATCTAACTCATTTTTTTCTACTTTCTCCTTGATCCATTTTGCAAAATGGAGATGCATTTCTCTGTCAATGTCAATCGCACGATTCCTCCTGTTCTGACGACCATATTTCTTCGACAACTCATTTTTGAACTTTCTATAAAGAAAATTACATGAATTATTTTTATTAAAATATATCAATAAAACAAAAAAAAAGTATGTTCTTTGATGAAAAAGACTTACCCTCGTAAGGGATCAAGTAGATGACAGTTGACTAAAATATGTCGATGTGCTTGATACCTCTCTACGTAACTAAGTGTATGAACGTGACCTGCACCAACAGGTTTCCCAAGATTTGGAAAAAGAAGAGGTAATTCTGAGTTTGGTCTTACACTTGTGTCAGCCAGAGGTCGATCGTCAGCACGGCTAACACGATTAAATCGTGTCTCTATATCATCAAGATATATTGAGCAAAACGTTACACATTCATCAGCTAAATACTGCTCACAAATTGAACCCTCAGGTTTAGCACGATTGCGAACATATGATTTAAAATATCCAAGAGTCCTGTAAATGAGTAAATCAAGTAAGTTTCAACTTATATATAAATATAGATGTATATGTAATGAGAAAAATTCACCTCTCAATTGGATACATCCAACGAAATTGAACTGGTCCACCATCTTTTGCTTCGTCGGTGAGATGTACAATTAAATGTATCATCACTGTAAAAAACGAGGGAAGAAATAACATCTCCATACGACATAAAGTCACTACAATACGGTCTTGTAATTTATCAAGTTCATTAATATCAATGACCTTAGCAGAGATATCTCTGAAAAATCGACAAAGCTCAACAATGACTGAAGTCACCTCTGGTGGCAGCAATTTTCGAACTGTGATTGACAACAAATCTCGCATTATTATGTGACAATCATGGCTTTTTAAACCTGATAGCTTCCTATTGTTAACATCAACACAATTAGATATGTTAGAAGCATAACCATCAGGGAATTTTACATCCTTTAAGACATTTAGAATAATGTCTTTCCCAGCATTATTCAGAGTAAAACATGCTGTCTGGTACTTTCCGGTATCATCGGGCCACAAATCAGGACGTATCCCAAGCTCACGAAGATCTTTTCTAGCTTGTAAATTGTCTTTTGATTTTGTTTGGTCATCCAATAATGTGTAGATTATGTTGTCGAACACATTTTTTTCTATGTGCATCACATCCAAGTTATGTCGTACCACAGTAAACTCCCAATAAGGCAATTCAAAAAATATACTCTTTTTCCTCCATTGTTGAGAATTGTATATTTCTGCCTCGCCTCGACCTCTCTTTTTCCCAACTGAACCATGTTTCTTACCAAGAATAATGTTAACTTGCTCAAGTTGATGAACAATTGTAGCACCTGTCAACTTCAATGGTGGAGATCGAGTTTCTATTTTTCCATCAAAACTAGTTTTATTTTGACGAAAATCATGATCTGGAGGAAGAAAACGACGATGACCCATAAAACAATTTTTCTTTCCATGGCGTAAACGTTGTCCACATGAATCAAAATTGCAGTTTGGACAAGCTAATGCTGTATACGTATTCCAACCAGATAAATTTCCAAGACCAGGAAAATCACTAATTGTCCACATGATGGCTGCTCGCATGTCAAACGTTTGTTTTGTAGAAACATCTAGCGTTTTGACCCCTTCAGACCATAATTCCTTTAATTCTTTGATAAGTGGCTGCAAATAGACATCAATATCATTACCAGGCATTTGCTTTCCAGGGATAACCATAGACAGAATCATCGATGTCTGATTCATTGACATCCACGGTGGAAAATAATAAGGAAATAAAACCACTGGCCAAATGCTGTAACTAGAACTCATTGTACCGAATGGATTAAAACCATCAGTAGCCAAACCGAGTCTAACATTTCTTGGATCAGATGCAAACTCAGGATATTTTTGATCAAATAACTTCCAAGCACCTCCGTCTCTTGGATGTTGAAGTTTACCATCATTACTACTAGCAGTTGCATGCCATCTCATGTGGCTAGCAGTTTTTGATGACATAAATAGACGTTGCAACCGTGTTTTCAAAGAAAAATAACGTAAAACTTTCGCAGGAGCTTTTTTTTCCTAGTCTCTGATCCAGCCATCAAATTCTTTGCTGTATTTATTTTCCATCGAGAAGCTTCACAAACTTTGCAAGTTTGTCTTTCTGCATCATCTTCCGAATATAACATGCAATCATTAGGACATGCATGAATTGACTCATATGCTAAACCCAGCTTACGGATAACTTTTTTCATTTCATTGAATGAATCCGGCAATTTAGCTTGAGTAAATGCTTCTTTTAGCAAACTGAGCACCATGGATATTCCGTTGTCACTAATCCCACACATGCATTTGATATGATATAACTTCAACAGAAATGACAGTTTTGTAAACTTAGTGCATCCTGTATATAATTCCTGATTAAAGTCAGCAAGCAACTCATCAAAACCTTCTCCTTTTCCATAATTTCCATTCGAAGTTGATGGTCCATCTGCGTCCATAGGTTGCTTCGATCCATTTCCATCAGATGTATTAATATCAGGAAAAAGATCATCCAAAAGATTCATAGTTGATTCTAATTCACCCGGAGCAATATTAATACCAGGAGATATTTCTATTGTATTTCCTACAACACCAACATCCTCTCCATGAAGTATCCAACTTGTGTAGGAATTTAAAAAGCCAAAACACATTAAATCACCTTCGACATCTTCTCTAGATCTAGATTTAGCTAGAGAACAGCGGTTACACGGACATTTTATCATGTTTGCATCTGTTTTGGAAAAAGAAAAATCCAAGAATTTTTTCACCCCGGTTATATAGTCTTGAGATAAACGTGGTTTGTTTATCCATGACTTATCCATTATAATCTAAACAAAAAATAAACATAATTATACAGTAATATTAAGTCAAAAAGCAAATATGTTTATGTAGCCGTATATGGATTCAACATTTTTAACATAATACAATGAACAATTCTTCAGAGTAAACAAGCTGGTAGCGATTGGTAAATTTGGTTTATTATCTA